CCAGAGCTTCACACGGCATCCTACCAGGAAGAAAGCTTTCATGGCCCTGGGGTTCACTATGACTGCAAAGCCAGGCCATTTGCCTAAGATCACATGATGAGTGGGTACCTCTGCTGGGACCTTATCTTCTGGTTCCAAGCCCAGTGCTCTTTACTCTGGACTGTGATCCCCTTTCCCGTGTGCCACAGCCCTTGTGGGAAGGAAAAGTGGGGAGTGGAAGGATACAGTCAGGAGCAAAGGGAACGACTCATGATGAGCAGAGAAAGAAAATTTTTTTTTGGTGGAGAATCATCAGGAGATTTCAATATCAGTAGACCTAGCCAGGTACATCAAATTATGGGATTATCCTAGTCGGAACAGACATAGGCTCATGAGTTATAAAATTTCAAAGGGGAAACAAGAGAGATGGCTCAGCAGCTGAGAGCACTTGTTGCTCTTTGAGAGGACCAACTCCCACATCAGATGGCTCATGGTGGCCCATAACTATAGCTCCAGGAGATCTGACACCATTTTTTGACCTGTACAGGCACCCATATACATGTGCACATACACTCACAGATGCAAACATAAATAAAAATATATCTTTAAAAAATCAAAAAGGGAACAGTTGTTCTTGTTAAAGAGAGGGGGGGGAAGTAATGAACCACGTTTGCCACACACTAATATGTTAGCTTTGTTGCTGTAACAGACACCTGAGATAATCAGCTTGAAAAGAATTGGAAGGTTGGTCTGTCTTGCAATTTTAGAGCATTCAGCCCATGGAAAGTTGTCCCTGTTGCTTTGGGGCCTGTGTGGAAGTCACTCATAGTGTCAGGAAGGGTTTGGTGAAGCTATAACTGCAGAGAATCAGAGAGAGGAGGAAAAGATGCATAGCACACAGCCCTACTCAAGGGCACACCGCCAAGGACCCAAATCACCACACCCAGACCTTCCTCCTAACATTCCCACCACCTCCCAGTGGTGCCATTGGCTGGTAACCGAGCCTTTAACACATGGGCTTTTGGGGAAACAGTCCACAGCCAAGCTACATCACCAGACAAGTTCCAAAAATCCTGAACAATCATATGATTCATTCATACAGATGAGAGAGAGAGAGAGGGAGATAGAGAGAGAGGGGGGGGGGGAGGGAGAAGGGGAGGGGGGGAGAGAGAGAGAGAGAGAGAGGGAGGGAGGGAGGGAGGGGGGGGGAGGGAGGGAGGGAGGGAGGGAGAAAGAGAGAGAGAGAGAGAGAGAGAGAGAGAGAGAGAGAGAGAGAGCGCAAAACCAGATGATCAGCCAAGGTAAAGGGGGGAGGGTATATCCCAATGAGTTGTCCCTAGGTATCTGTGTATATCCAGAGCCCCATGCATACCCAAATCTACAGGTGCTCAAGACCTTGTGTACAACTGCAGAGTATCTATACAGAACTTGCTCACATCCTTTTACCTACTTCAGATCGTCTCTAGATTTCTCAGAATACCCACTAGAAAGGGCATTTAAATCATTTGACACCACACTGGGTAGGGAACAATAATAAGAACCAGTCTGAGCCCATTTGGTTCCAATGCAATTTTCCTTTTCAAATGTTTCTGATCTGTACTTAGATACAGAACCCATCAGTGCACAGGACCTGCTGTACTTGGAAGGAATGGATTCAATGGTAAGGAAAGAACAGAGATGATGCTCTGTTCTGCCAACTCAAAGTTTTCTCCATCCTCCCTCTGTTCCCCCCCCCCCCCTTGTTCCTGCTTTCCTTCCAATGGCTAAGAGTTAATCATGTATGCATTCCACAAGTGCTATGATCTTCTAGTCATGTTCCCATGTGTCGGGAGTAGAGCAAAGGGGTTTCCACCGTCTCAGAAATGGTTGTCTGCTTGACAATATATTACACACACACACACACACACACACACACACACACACACTTTGGTGTAGTGGCAGCTGAGGGAATAGTTATTTTACAATGACTGCCATTTCTATGCCAGGAATATTCCCACTCTGACAGGCATTTTTCCATCAATACTTATAAGTCTTTGTCTTCCTCTGGGGAGACCAGGGCACAGCAAAGTCAAGGATACAGAATAGAGCAAGTCAGTGACAGACTAGGAAGGGTCACCACCAGGGCTCCAGATAACAAATGTGGCAGGAAGAAGCCAAAGGTCCCATTAGTGTCACATGTAAGAAAGAAAGTGCAGAAGGATCCTCTCTACCTAGAACCTACCTTCACATCATTGTATCTCTAGCACAAAGCTGCCCTGTGGAGAGTTTCAAGGGCTGTATCTTCATGGGAAAACTGATAATGTAACACTGGACAACAGTGATTTAAAAACATGACAAGTATGTTTTCTGATTTTTCTAGAAGTAACTTTAGCACAGTGTGAGGTCAGGCAGGGGACTCCTCCTTTCTCTGTAGACTCATGGGTCATGAGAATGCATGGCTTTCAAGATGATAGTAGGCCAGAGGGTAGTGATGGTCTCTGCTTCCTACAGTCTGACACCAGCAGGAAGCCTACCTAGGAACTTCAAAGGTTCAGTGGAGATTGTTCCTAAGGATTGTTACTTTTCAAGATGAGGTGACACCCCCCCCAGACCACACTCTGTTTGTTCTTGTCCCACACGACATGTACTCCCTGTCCCATATTAACCAGAGAAGGCAGAAAGAGTCTGAAGTCTCTGCATTCACGGGACTGGACATGATGAAGAATTTCCCCATGGCTACACAGCATCGTTCCGCTCTATGCTTGCTTCCTCCATGAATCTGTCTTCAACTGTTACAGCTTCACAGAAAAGCCATCTGTGCTGAGAAGGAAGAAACGTACACATCCAGGGCCTCATGCTAATGATCCTCTGGGTGCTTACTGTGTATGACTTTGTTCAGAATTCAGAAAAGGCTGTGCAAATGAAGCCTGTTCGACTCTATTTTATTCTTCATAGTTCTTCACTTTCTAGACTGACTTGATAATGAAAATCTTCCTCTCAAACCTGTTCATATCATTTGGAGTCTTTGAAACACTGTCTAGAAAAAAACTGAGTTTAAGCCTCTTGTCTCTCTCTCTCTATCACAAAAGGTTCACAGTAGTGATAACTGGGTAGATGAATGTATTGTGAATTAGGAAGTGAACGTGAACTTAGACTCCAGATTTTCCATAAAGCCCTCACTCACTCCTGTAGAAATCTTGTCCACAATGAGCCAATCACTTTGTGTTTCTTCTGCCATGTGACCAGACATACATGGAATACTCAGGAAAGGGCATCAGGAAGCTCACTTCTAGGTCCAGGCTGGCTCTCTAATACAAAGTGTATATAGCTGATGTTTTGACTCTTGACATAGGACAGGCAAAAGAAGCACAGAATTCTGGGATTCAACATGGCCTCATTACTTTAGGTTCTGTGGCTGTCTGTTTGAACAGGCTTTCATTATGTAGCCCAGGCTGGCCTAACTTCACAGCCTTCTCACATCTAGGTTTATAGGTATGAACACTACATTGCATCTTAGACTTTATCAGTTATAAAGGACTGAGACCACTTAACAAGCCAAGCCATCCAGTTGCAAGCTATCTTCCAAACCCATCCCTTACTCTACTTTCCCCCACCCCCAAGAAATAGAATGCCTATGCAGCAGGGAGATAAATATGTGTTGTGTATTTCAGGTCCACAATCCCTTCTGCAAACTCTTGGGACAAGCGTATCATCAAATTCTTCCCATTAAAGAAAGACAGTGAGGTGTGTATGCCATGACTGTGTTGTTCCCCTCCCACGCTCACAGGTAAATAAATATTCCTGCAGGGAAACATGAATGTCCACAGTAAGTGAGAGAAATCTATATAGACAATGTGCAGGCAGTTCAGGTTGTACTTTGTTGGCACAATTGGCTCTAGGACCCAATTCACTTTAGGGTCTCCTAGCTGTCTGGGCTGTGAAGTGATCATGCAAGCCTCTGCTTGGCATCTAGTGAGGACTTGCTGCATGAAGAAAGGCCGAGCTGAATCTCTGCAATAGATCCAAGAGCTTCTTGCCAAGACGAGAAAAAGGCATATCTCCAGCGTGCCACGGTAGGTGTGCTTACCTCAAACAATGTTAGCTCAGTTAGGACCAAGGTTCCTTGGATATGGATGGCAATAAGGATACAGGACGAGTTCATCTTTCACCCTATTGGCCTGACAAGAGGGAGTTTCCAAAGCAGACCACAGAAGAACAAAAGCTCACTGCGCTGTTCACCACCAAATTTCCCAAATCACCGAGAAGCCTGCCGTGCTGTGTGGGTTAAAGTTCAGTCACATGGCTCTAGTCCAGTGGCACTGGCACAGTGGCAGGTTTCTCTGCCCTATCTGTGAACTTAAACAGCATTGTGTTTGAGTTCAGGCTTAAAGGCTTCAAGGTCTAACCTTAAAAAAAAAAGAAAAGGTCTAATTGCAGACTCTCATCTTCCAATTTTTAAGGGGCCAACACAATTTTAGAGCAATTCTCATACCATAATCATCATTTGCCTTAATGATCAAAGTATACACATGACACAATATAGAATACTTGACCACAGTGTCAATCACACAGTGACTGGTGTCCCACTGTGGGACTTGTAACTAACCAGTCTAGTATATATAACTGTATATTGCAATATAATACTGGAAGATTTTGCTTATAAAATAGCTGTGGTTTATTCATTAGTGTTGAGGCCAAGTTGAAACACCAGGATTGTAACTTCTCCCCATGAAGCCATAGTCACACTGACACACGCCGACACAATATCCTCCTACAGGTGACAATGTGCCTCACTCATCAAACTGATCATATTCCTGAGTGTTTTCCGAGACCTGCAGACTTAACAGCTCACTGGTGCCTGAATCATCCCTGTCTGTGTTTAAGCCCTTCAGAGTCAGGTCATGGCAATTCGGCCCAGACTTCTCAGATAATAGGCCAATTATATTATGTCACCTGAGACCTAAGCTCACCAGATCATTGGGCCTATTAATTGCAAAGGGGGAATTTCCTGAACCTCATACCCAGCTGGGGATTTAGGACAATGAGTTCCTCTCCATTCGTCTGTAATGCCTGAAAATGCTAAGGGGCCGATTATGGCTCTGTCTACTTCCTCTCCAAGTCTTCCATGGCGAACACCCAAGACAGCCATGGTTGCCAGACAAGGAGATACCAATGGTAAAGGCAAATCGCATTCAGCAACACAGGTAGTATTTGCTTCTGGTAAAGGGTGGGCATCAAGGGAAATACAAAGAGCATATTAGGATGTATCAGTCAGCTTCTAGTTACTGTAACTGATGCGGTGTGCAGAGACTATGGAGTGTATCTTGATGGCAGTGAAGAAGAACCTCCAAGGAAGAAGGAATTTCTAAACCAGCATACATTGGTGTATCTAGAACACAACAAGAGCCTCATAAAATGCCACCCTGGCTTTCTGGCTCACTCACCGGCTTCTTTGGCTTGCTATCTTATCTTCTAAGTACACTCTAATCCAAGTGCTATATTTTGGAATGCTTGTTTAGAAATCTTAAAAATTAGAATGTAATTTTTTTTGTTGTTGTTTTTCGAGACAGGGTTTCTCTGTATAGCCCTGGCTATCCTGGAACTCACTTTGTAGACCAGGTTGGCCTCAAACTCAGAAATCCACCTGCCCCTGCCTCCCAAGTGCCGGGATTAAATGCGTGTGCCACCACCACCCAGCCTAGAATGTAATATTAAGATAACTAATAAAAATCATTGACAGATCTCTCAGGTTCTTACTTTGAAAATAAAGATGGAACAACGGCTAGGCAAAAAGATTGTAGCCATAGGCGGCCTACCAGCTACATTAGCTGCAATGGATACTTGCCCAAGCACGAGGCCATCAAGAAGCTCATCACAATATTTCATGAGGAATGTTTTAGAATGCCTTTGACGCCTCTCTGTGCTTCCCAAGGCTGTCAAGTTCTTCACTATAGGCTTTCTGCTGCTTATAGGAAGGTGGCCAAGAATGACCTTATAAAACAGAGGGCTGAACCTCTAACCCCAATTTAGACCTGTGGGTGCCAAAGACCTTGTAAGGAGCTGAGCCATAAGGACTGAGCAATGAAAGTCTATCTACTTCTTAAATAGAAAGAACAACCAGGGCTGTACTTTAAATGACTGGTTGTTCAGAAAAAGATGAATTTCCATCTATACAACACTTTCAAAAATGACAAAATTACAGACCTTGAGGATAGATTAGTAGTTATGGGGGATCGTCTAGGGAGGGGTAGGAAGTCAGTGATGGGCATTCCTGTGGCAATGGGCAGTATTGTATCTGAAGTACAAAAACATACTATCAGTTCCTGTGATAAAACTTCTCAGGCCTAGAGATGCTTCCATAACTACTCACTGTATGCTGGTGGAAGTGCTGGATTGAGAACAGGACTTGGAATTTTCACAGGTTATCAATCTCTGTCTCTCTGCCTCTCTGTCTCTCTCTCTCTGTCTCTGTCTGTCTGTCTCTCTCTCTCTCTCTCTCTCTCTCTCACACACACACACATACACACACACACACACACAGTTCCCATCTAGAATGTCCCACAAAGACTACATGTTGAAACCTGGTCCCTTCCATGAGATGTTATTTGGAGGTGATGAAACTCTAAGGAATGAGGCCTCATGGGAGGAAATGAGGCCATTGGGGGTGTGCACTTGAAGGATATTGGGACTTGCACCTCTTCTTGCCGCTTTTGTTTTCTGGGGACCATGAAGTGAACAAGTTTGCTTCACCACACATGCCCCACTCTGAGTGCTCCCTCACTCCAGGCTCCAAAGCAGTGAGGCCAAGGTTTCAATGAAACCTGTGAAGCCGCCATGTGAAGCAGCATGACGCTGAGTCACACCTACCCCGTCTGCTGGGCCGCGGGATGCAGCTCCCAGGAAGAAGGCAATCCATGAGAAGAAACAAGCTAGGTGTGCTGTGGGACTAGGTGGCTGAAGGCATTTTCAACACAAAATTCTGATTCTGATGGTTCATCTGAGAATCAATCCATTCCACTTTAAGGAACGCCTGTACACATAAGGATGAGTTGGTGTGACATGAGATCTGACTGGTCTCTGAAAAGCACCAATGCCAGCTTCTGGGTTTTGACATCATTCTGATTCTGTAAGACATTACTTGGGGAAACTGGGTAAATGGCTATAAGATCTTGTCCACCACTCTGCAACTTCTGGGAATCCATAATTGTCTCCTTGTTTGTTTGTTTGTTTGTTGTTTGTTTTTTCGAGACAGGGTTTCTCTGTGTAGTCCTGGCTGTCCTGGAACTCACTCTGTAGACCAGGCTGGCCTTGAACTCAGAAATCCACCTGCCTCTGCCTCCCAAGTGCTGGCATAATTGTCTCATAATGAACATTTGTAAAATGGCTGAATCCATGAGGGAGTTGTATAAATGATTTGTCCAGCAGCCATAGGAAGCACAGATACATGGGCAAACTACAAGCACTATTAATATCAACCATTTTGTTCCGTGGGTTAGTCTCTGTCTCACGGATTTCACTGTGCATTGGCAAACTCCTAAACACAGTCATCCCTTTGTGAAATGCCAGTGTTACCCTGCGGGTTGTTTCTACAAAGAACACTTCTGGAGCTACGAAGTGTTCAACCTGTGCAACAGCACATATCAGTCCACCCTTTGGCCAGCTACTGCGAAGGAATAAATCTCAGTTATTGTTTTGTGGATGATTTTCTTATCTTCCTAGCTTTAGGATTTATTCTGCTTCTCAAACTGCTCCATCTTCAAGCTAGCCCGGCTTGGCAAATACCGACATTGATATCTTGATTACAGAGAACTCTTGGGTTCTCAGTCACAAAACACAAAATAGAAGTTTTTGGTGTTCAGACACAAAACAGAATTTTTTCTTTATTACAGACCTTCTACTACACACTTCCTACTGGCTGTAAGGACTGATCTCTGCATTTGCCTGGAACCTCAGCACTAGGAAGCCTGTGACAGGAAGATTTAAGGGCAATACAAAGGCTGTATGTCTTCAGACAGCAGGGGCTACAAAGAGACATCTAGTCTCAAGTAAATAAATAAAGATTACTTTCTGCCTTAAAGTTACTCTAACTGTAGTCAATCCTAAGTCACACATGCATTTGTCCCTTGGTAACTTTAGGGCAATGGTTTTCAACCTGTGGGTCATGACCTTTTGGGGAGGGAGGTCGTCAAATGGCCCTTTTACAGGGGTCCCATATCAGATATCCTGCATATCAGAGAGTTGCATTATGATTCATAACAGTAGCAAAATTGCTGTTATGAAGTAGTAATAAAAATAATTTTATGGTTGGGGTCACCACAACATGAGGAGGTGTGTAAAGGGTTACAGCATGAGGAAGGTTGAGAGTCACTGCTTTAGGAGTTGGTCCATGCACTCCCACAGTCTCCAAGATCTGAGGTGGTCCATGTCTTCTGTAAGCAGTGTTATTTGTGTATAAGCTATGTACATTCTCGACAATACTTTAATCCGCCTCTAGGTGGCTCATAATAAATAACACAGGAAGATGTTATGTAATTCTTGTTCTGGTGTATCTTTTGAGAAATAACGAGGAGAAGAAGTCTGCCCACGATCAGTACAAACGCAGCTTTTGTTTGGAATATTTTCCATGTGCCGTTGGTAGAGTCTAAGAGCCAGTGCACAGCACCTAGCCATCGCACTTGGCTCCTGGGGACATATATTGTTCAATCTGTTTGTGTGTAGGCCACTTGTGACTGAACAAGTCACACTGGAGCCAGTCACAGGAGAAGCCCAATATGGTCCAGCAAGGAAGTCCAGATTCATTCTGAGACAGGTGAGCAATGAACAGGATGAGGAAGAGGTGTCAAGGGCAGATAAAAAAAAAAAGAGCTGGACAGGTGAGGCGGGCTTGAGCCCATGACTCACACGGGGCTCCCTTTTGTCAGGAGGGTGGAGCAGGTAGAGCATGCGAGGGCTGAGAAACCCACACCCAACCCCAGCTCTGCTCTGTTCTGCTCCTCCCACCCCCAATTCCCATCAGACACAGGTGTCAGGGATGCACAAAGCTGCTTCTTCAGCAGCAAGTTGGCACAGTGCCTCAGGTGAGCTCAGGCTTGGCACTTTCTCCACACCCGTAACAGAAGCCTAGCCATGAAGAGTTTGAGAATGAATAAGAGAGGAAGAGAGGGTGGGGCAGGGTGACCTTTGAGGGCCAGGATCTAAAGGCTTTCCTGGAACAACTTTCCTCTCAACACATTAACACACCACACACACACACACATACACACACACCCTATACAAGACACACACCACTTGCATACACACACACTATTCATATTCATCCCCCCATACATAACACACATAAACGCATCACTCACGCATCACATACCATATGTCATGCACATACACATACCATACACACACTGCACATACCAGACAGTCTACATATATACCACATAAGGCAACAGACCACATACACCACACACACACACACACACACACACACACACCACTACCACCATCACCACCACTCAAAGATGCTCACACACTCCTATGATTTTTCCGTTGACTTCATCCCCCTAGACTCCCCTGATTTGGCCTTGAAGATAAAGGAAGGACACACACTTAAGAGACAAAACAGGATGGGGAACTGGAGAAGTGGGAGAAGAATCCTCTTTAAACTTCTGAAATCCCAGGGAGAGTTTGCATCCCAGGTGCAGACTTCCCAGCTGTGTGACCTTGTCATTGTCTCTCTGTGCTTAACTGTCCTCCTTTGTAAAAGGGGACTCGTGAGAGCAAGGTTGAGGAGGAGGAGGAAGAAGAAGAAGAGGAGGAGAAGGAGGAGGAGGAGGAAGAGGAGGAGGAGGAGGAGGAGGAGGAGGAAGAAGAGATGATCTCACAGGATGAGGAGGCTTGAAGGTGTGGGTGTGCCTGAGAACACAAAGGAAGGCAGAGCACACAGGGGTTCAATACCCCTGAGATTCTTATAAACTCTGGCTAAAAACCCCTGTACACGCCCCAGAGACTTGGCTTCCCCCTTGGCTTCCTCCCCCCTCCCACCCAGCACCTTTTACACTTGACTTCCCATGCCCTTTGCAGTCAAGAGACATCCTGGGCTCCAAGAGAACACAGGGCTCCAGTGTTTGGCTGCTGTGGTTTATGTGCCCCCTACAAAGGCCCATGTGCTAAGAACTGGTCCCCAGGATGCTGCTGGGAGACAGTGGAATCTTTGGGAGGTGGGGCCTGATAGGTACAAGTTGGGTCATTGGAGGAACGACCTTAAAGGGACTACTGAGATTCCATCCCTTGACCCTCCTCCTTCCCATCCTCCTCTTCCTTCATCTTCCTGCCACCCTACCCTTATACCTCTGTTTCTGGCTGCTATGAAGTAGGCAGTCTCACCTTTGTCACATACTCCCTTCATGATGTATCGGCTCACCACAGGTCCCAAAGAAATGACCCAAATGACCATGAACTGAAAACTTCCAAGGCAGTGACCAAAACAAACCTTTCTTATAAGCTGATTTCTCTCAAATATCTGTTACAGTGATGAAAAGCTGACCAACACACTCACCAATTTGAGATCACATTTTAGCTGTACCCCAGCCTTGCTTGGCCAAGCACTTACTTTCCTGGGCCCATGTCTTCTGTCCTCCCTCCCAGTCCCAGCGGCAAGGACACAGAAGCTGATAGGAATGCTTGTTCTGAAACCAGGCTATAGGAGCATCACACTAGGTACCAGAATCCAGCACAGTGGCTTGCCTGATTCTGTAATCATCCAGGTTTCTCCCCTTCCTTCCATCATCCCCTCTGATAGGCTACAAAACCTGTTAGAAAATAAGCATTTCTGGCCTGTGCTTAGAGCTTTCTCCTGTCAAACTCCTGACAACCCCATGACTTGTCATCTTTCCTTGATCCCCAGATCTCCATCTGCTTTTCCCAGGAGAATGACTCAAGCAAGTGTGTTGCTGTGAAGATCAAAGGCAGTAGATACGCAATGATGAAGGAAGAGGAAGAGAGGGAGGAGCATTTGGTGGGGTGGTCCATCTTCCTGTCTAGCCAAAGCTTAGGGCCAATTCTGACAGCTGGTTACTCAAATAATTCCAGATCTATAATGCTAAGGGTCCCCAGAATTTAATCTGTTGCTGCTGATCATGTAAGTGGGAGTTAAGTTTTCTGGGCCTCCATTTCTTCTCTGGTAAAGCAGGCTTCTCACAGGGCTGTGTTAGATATAGGAAAGCCTAGAAGGGATCTGACATTTCCCAGGGCACCTGTCTCTCTAGGTGAGCTCTCTGTGGGAATCAACACTGAGGGCTGGAAATACCAGGCCATGTCGACCTATAGCCACTGACCAGGTCTGCTTCCTGGACCTTTCCAAAGCAAACTACCTCAAGAAGCAGGTGCAGAGCGGAGGTAAAATGAGTCACAGGAAACTTGTCTTCCATCCCTAACTATCAGAACATCAGGAGACTCCGGTCAAGAGGAAAGATAACTGCAGATGCCCTTTGTTGAAGTCCTCTGTGCAAGCCTGTGGGTAAAGACAAGCCTGTGGCATATTTTTTCTTTTCTTCTCACCTTACCTCCCCCGCTCTGCAATCCCCACAAGAAGGAAGAGAAAAAAGGCCACAGTACAGACAGGCAGGAAAGCCCCAGTCCCTCCACACTAACCACCAGCCAGTCTGGGAAGTCTCAGCTGAACAATCTTAGAACTCACCCTGCTAAGACAAGGAAGAGAGAGTGACAGATCTCTACCGGCTGTTCCCAGCCTTATGCCCTATGCCCTCCACCAGAGGACAGACATAGCTACACCTAGACTGAGAGAGCCTGCCCTGCTCACAAGAGAAGAAAATGGGGCATCCAGAGCTATTCTCCTGTTTGAAAAAGGGCAAATATCCTAAACATGTGTGTCCAAACACTCCAGTCTCATCCATTCCACTGCGACCTCAGCATATGAGCCGAGTACAGGGCCAACCCACACCTGGCTTGGCCTCTCTCTAGTCTCTGGCTCAGCCAATCAGGCCTCACCAAGAAGGAACCTTTGTGACAGGAGCACCAGAGTCACAGTCTCCGAGGTTACTATTTTTTAACATCTATTAAATGCCACGGTATGCTGAGTCCACGGGGGGAAGCAGGACTGGGTAGCTTTGGTGGGCTGGCACGGCAGGAGATAAACAGATGCATGCCATTCCAGAGCTCTGAGGGAAGACGCCCCTCAGAGCCAGGGCTCTGCTTTTGTGCGTGCCTGTCATTTCTACTAGCACTGTTCTCAGAACTTTCCACCCGGCACTTGGCAATGGGATAAATCAGAGCCTGACGACTTCTTGGCTACAGCAACACTGTGCCAGGAGCATCAGCATGGCCAGGCACTCCCTGGTGACATGGTTGGCTCCTTCTACCCAAGCACACAGTAATAAAAGGACAGCTGGATGCAGGGGCATGGCTGTGGGTTCTTTCCAGTCACTAACTGGGACTAGCCTCTCTCCTTTCTCCCCCGGGGTGAAGTCAGTGACAGTTTTACACTGGCCCAGAAGGAAAAGCCAATAGTGTTGGAAGGAATCGGGGAGGTATTGTACGAGCGGATGGTAGCTAGAACAAGAGAGTGGAGGAGACAGACTGAGCCGGAGAGGTAACGTTCTTGGGCTTTGCAGCTTCTCCTCATCCACGCCTCATCATGCCCTGTCACAGCGCATGCTCACACTGCCCACCCCTACTCCAGGTACAATGTGGAGCTGCAGGGGTGTGATGCCGTACACCCTGAGAATATGGAAGGAGCCGGTCTCAAGTCCGGTCTCAAGCTCCACTTCTGCTTCCTCTCTGGCTTTAGGTTCCTTGTCTGGAAAGTAGAAAGTCTGGGCTTAGTAGGTACTTAAGAGGTTCCACAAACTCTCCGGAATAACTGTGCAAGCAGTCTTAGCCATGTGTCTGCCTAAATGCAGCTATGCGATGCTTTCTGCGCCTACGGCATGCAACGAGACACCACACATGCAACACAACACACACACACACACACACACACACACACGAAACGAGACACCCCGATCTCAACACAGCACCCTCTGAACCAGTGCGGTGCCCCTTTATGCAAAGCAGTATCTCCCAAAC